GTGACTGTTTCTCATGTGTTACGTGATGAAGCCTCTGATAGTCAGACCTCTGACAACATCAGTGAGACTACAGCAGTTTCTACTTCTATTCTCTATCTTCTCCTATCAGATTTCTGATTGAAAACATATCTAATAGAGTTTCAGCACAGCTTAGGGTGTTTATGTGTCTATACAAGAGCATACGAACACCTTGAGAGAGTCCATGACACGCTGATAGAGCCCATGAGCAAAGACCATCACTGCTTAAATTACTCACTGCACATTCCCTTTTAGAAGAGGCTCAGAAATGCCAAGTCATTTCAACTGATGGCATCATAATAATAGTTATGTTCTGAACTTTACAGCTGACAGCATTTCTGAAAGAAGTCCTTTCATACTGGTGTTACGGACAAGGCCAGCTTCAGCATATGCGTTGCTGTATAGAACTCAATAAGTGTAAAAACTGGAATTGCTAGGTAATAAAACATAACAAAATTACTGTCTTCATGGGGTATAACACAGATAAATCATATAAACAATCTTGTCCAGATACTATATGTAAGTTATGGCAGAGTTATTCTAGTTATTTTCAACAACAAGCATCAATCATCTCTTTTGATCGGTACACGATCGCAGACCTGATGAGAGCACTAAGCATCTTCGTTTTGGGCTAAACTGAAGGTGAAATTAAGCACCTGTTTATGAAAGGGTAGTGAGAAATAACTGGAGGCTACTGCCTGAGAAAATGGCTTTAATTACAGAGCATGAGCCGGGCTAAGCCCTGTGGTCTAAAGAAGATGGTGATTTCTTTCAGTGACTTAAAGGAAAGAAAGTAGTGCGGGATTTATGCAGCTGTGAGCATATTCCTGCGAAGAAGCAAGGAGACTCCTTTCCTCTCGGGCTCCCTTCCCAAAGGTGCAGAACTAGCTGCAGGAAAACCTGGAACTAGTGAAGAATAAAACTCCTTGCTCTGGTTTCTGTCCTGGCAGGGTAACAGAGCTTTGCGTACACTACTTGTGATATGTAAGATTATCCCAATGAAATGTTTGCCTTCTTGGAAAATTATTTGCATCATTTTTAATTTTGCAAGAAATTCTGAATTCTCTTAGCTCAGCACCCAAATCTTTTTAAAATATTTCTCTCTTTGCCTTATGCAGACTTTTCATCACCATACTGACCAAAAGCTAGGGACATGACTAATGAATTCAGGGTTGCTGTAGCTTGGAAGGTGTCCAGGTAAGAGCTGATGCATTTATACTCTTTGGCTGTCTTTAACACCTCAGTTTAAAGAGAAAGTGCCTACAAGGAAACCTAAGCACAAGTTGAACCCCGAGGACTTTTATGGGATGAGTGAGGCTGAAAAAAGAATGCGTGGTTAGAAAAGAATACTTACTATGTAGTCACAATTAATTATCTCTTATACTTTCCTTGTTAAAGAAAGCAATAATGTGTTTAAGTCCTCTGGGAAGAGAGAGCTGTCTGTATGCTTTTACACATCATTTCTTCTAATAGAAAGCGAGTCTGGATGCTTGTGCTTCCAGTGAGATTCTGGGAAAGAGCATTCGCTGGGCATCTGTGGAGCCACCGCTGTCCTCGAGAGCAGGTACCCCGAATCACACATGAGTGTAGCAGCAGGTGCCCAGTAATTGGTCTCCAGGTCCCAAATCTGCGCTTGCTGAAAAAATCCTGCCAGGGTTCTGCTTATTGTCCAGAGACCTAAAAAATCCCAAGACCCTCTAAACGCAACCTGCTGCCTGACAGATAGGAAAAGAGACGGTTCTGCAAGGCCCAGATGAAGGAGATGAGAATATTTAGGTTTGTGGATACACTCTAAAGCACATCTCTTTTCCTGTAGCCTCAAGATGCCAGCTGGATTTTGAGGTTGAAATATTTGGCTGTGTGTTCTGTAGGATTTCTTCATCTGTTTGTTTTGGTAGCTGGAGAATCTTCCCCTCACCCACCACCCACACAGCAAATAAATGTTTTCTGGCACTGACCGGTACCCTGTCTGTAACACTACATAGTAGCTAATGTGTAATGTGTGGGGATAACAACACCTCATCATAGATAGTAAAGAGGACAGGAGTACAATTATTATCAGTACCACTCGCAAGCCAGCAGAGCCCTGCATGGAGATCCAAGGCATGCTTGCCGGAGTAATGATGCTGAAAGAAGAGTCCTGACGCCAATGGAGCCCTCAGTATCCATGGGAGATGCAATGATAAGGTCTCCTAAAGTTGGCAGTGAGTAAAGGATAGCTGGACTTGCTCAGTCCAAACACGCCTGCTCTGCACTCCATCTTCTGTTTGTCAGTTTTCCTGCACCGCCTTTGTGTCACGCCAAGGACAAGCTGAAAGATGCAATATAAATAAGATGTCTGTTGGAGAAATGTGTTTCTTGTTATGTGCTTTATAAAGCAAAATCGAGTCAGCAATCGAAGCAGTGGTCTGGACAGCACAAGTAACATCTCCCAGATGAGCACTGAATGCTTTGTTTACATTGCAAAGGATGAGAAGTGGGAGTCAAATGAAGGCAAACTACCCAAATAGGGACCCACGCTGAAGAGGAGTAATTTGTATTCTAAAAATGGGGGGGTTTTGTCTCACTTCCAGGACAGTGCCAGGAGTGAAATACTGCACTTTTGCCAAGAGAGGATAGTGGTGTGCAATATACCCCTGATTTCATTAGTTGAAAGATTGCTTCTGCTTTTTATAGTCCCTTGCAGCCAGTAATGTGAGGGACAATTAGAATACCTCAGAAATTAAAAGGCTTGGTGATGTTGTTACCAATAGGGTGAATATTGGTTGGTTTGTCCCCTCCACAATGATGGAGAAATTTGCCAAAATTAATCCTGAGTAACTATCAAGAACAAAGACAAGTTTCAGGTGTATCTCAAAACCAATTTTTTTTTTTCATTTTTGTAACTTTTATTTCCAGTTTTGTGTGCTTAAATATTGCAGTTGGACAGGAGATACTTCACTTCAGTTGCTCTTAACTTGTGTATAACAATTTGTTGTTAATTTATAAAGATGGCTTAAGCTGAGCTGACTGATACGCTGTTACTCCAAGAGCAACAAATTTACCCTCTGTGGTGTGTATTTTTAGAAATAAATCTTAAAAGTCAAATACACATTTGTAATTAACCATGTGTGAAATCAAACATGTTGAATTGGGGGCGGGGGGGGATTTTACTGGATGCCTATAATTAATCAAAATATGAAAGATAGACAAACTAACAAACATAAGGTGCTAGTGCAGTGAGAGGATCTTTATTTATAAGCAGCATTTAGCACCATTTAATTCATGAGTTTGGTTTCTACTGACCATCTGTCATAGCTGCTGTCAGCTTCACAAGTCTCGTGAACTTTGCCAGTCCTGGTGTTAGACTTCAAAAGATGCTGCGGCCACCCACCACTATCACAAGCATCCATAGACCATATTGTGGCAGCGTGAAACAAAGCGTGGTTTTGGCAGGAATAGAAGAGGCTGCCCCTGTGTTTCAGTTTTCCTCCTTCCAAAGTAGCAGGCATTTAATTGGATTAACTGGACTAAAGTCACTACTGCTTGAAGAGGTAGCTTCAGGCTCAGGCATCAGACGCTTTCTTGGTCATCAGAATATTCTTACTCAGGGCCTTTTGAGAAACGGTGGGAACTAAACCCCTGTTGGAAGACTATACTCTCTTGTCAAACCAGGTTCGTAGCAAGACCAGGTGAAATGCATTAGCTATCTCCAAAATAGCTTGTATGGCATGGATGAAGTCAGGAGCTTTTAAAATATAGATTGTAAAAACCTTCTTAGAAACCTGGAAAGCAAGTAAGGCAAGGGACGCTCAAGAGCCCTATCCATGACTTTCATCAATGCAGCCTAGCACAGCTGATCACAATAAACTTCAAAAGATATTTATCAAGTATTAGTTCTTTTTAAATTCTCTTTAAGAAATGTGAGGACATGGTAGTCCCTATCAATTCCCCTCTTTGTATTCAGCTCACAAACATGTATTTTTAAGGCCTGTGGATCCTGACATGTGTATTTGTCACATTGACACGGGTTGTTGCTGAGACTCCTTTCCATAGTCTCCTGTGACTATCCAGCAGCTCTGGGAAGAGGTTTGTTAACTTGTGTTCTGGCCCCTGACCTCATACTGGCTGAGGAGGAACTGTTCTCAACACTCTTTAGGAGCCTGTACATCTGGTGTTGGTACGGCTGAGCAGTACGACACCATTTTGCTACAGGGTGCAGAACACTGATTTTCAAATCCCCGTTGGCAAATTTTCTTGCTTTCTTAAAAATATATGTTCTGGGCTAAAATTTCCAAATGTATTTCAGATTTGGCAACAAAAGAAAGTAAAAATGGACAAGAAGCATCCCTTAGGTATGCGCAGAGATAGATAGCACTTTCATAACTGTGGTATCATTTAGTAGCTAATGTTTTTTCCAAGATTGCAATCATTTGACTATCTTAATCCTGTTATTTTGACATTTCATATAAAATTACTGAGTAGATCACAGCTTCCTTCCTGGTAGTGGTGACCTCTGATCTGCTTATTATCAAGAGTAAAACTTGGGTATACTTTGCAAACAATACTGGTATATGCTATGCTTTCTACCTCTCTTTAGCATTCTTTTCTTTTACTGCTCTAGTGAACATCATAGAAAAATACCTTGTGAAATGAAAGACTTGTGGACTCTATAGAAGGTAATACATAGGGAATGTATAGTAGTCTGAGGAGGCGCATGAAGTTGCAGGTAGCTTTTGTTTCGAGCTGTTTGGGGAGGCACATTCCTAAGACTGTTCCCTCTTCCTGTTGGCAGATCTCCCACAAGAGTTGTGGTAAGGTGGATACAACCATCACAAAATCTGCTCCATGAGCATAGATGTTGAGCTGGACCTGCCAATACAGGTTTTATTGTCTATACCATGCCTAGAGTGGTTGCCTACATAGCTTCAAGCATGCCATCTCCTGGATTTCCCCACCTACACTGAATGCGTATAAATTACAGGTTGGTTCCTGCACTACAGGTGGACCTGTGGCAGCCCAGCAGCCCCTTCTACATCGTCGAAGGCACGGTCACCGATGTGCGAGTACCACAGAACACGTCCCAAAGTCTGCTGCCCTACCTCCAGCAAGCAAACATCCAGTACACGTAAGCCTCTGCTTTGCTTTCTGTGCCTCACTCCAGAGCTGTGGTCTCCAAGGCAGGTCTGCGCCTACGAAGCCAAGTGTGCTTGAAAATACGTTCCACACAATTAGACTGGCAGACAGCTAGACATTGCCAGGAAAACAACCATTTTAATGGGAGAACAGAAAATCTCACACAGGCAGGCAGTTTTAATTAAATGTCCACCTTTGGAGCCAAGCTGAAGTGTTTTCAATGTATATGAAATCACATCTGTTAAGAGAGGGATGGTAATTACTAATTCTACAGCCTGCTTTGCCTCTCTCTGTATTTAACAGGAGCAAGGTTTGTTTACAAGTGTGCTGCAAACACGGAGGCAAGCCTTCTTCATGAATTATAAAGGAATGTACTAGTTCTGTTTTATAACTCTCCATTCCTCGTGACCCAGCACAAGTCATACAGAACAAATACGTGCTGAGGTTCACATATAATTTACAGCATTTCTTAAAAGCATTCAAGACAGTTTTGGACTACACTTATCATTTCATATTTATCAATATGATACACTAGACAAGAGTAATGATCTTGTCATTAAAGCCTTTTCAGTGAGATGCTGAAGCATCTGAATAATCAACTGATGAGTTATTTGAATTCTCAAACATTTGCTGAATAAAGCCCTACATGAGGCTATTTATACTTATTTCTCAGTGAGAAAAGGATGGTGCAAATCATATTTTATATTATATGTACTCTTATCAGAGTTCCATTTTTATTATAACAATGGTCTCTTATTAATTTGTCATTCTAAAAATACAAAAACAAATGTAAGGAAATTAATTATGCAGGCCCGGTAGCCAAAGTTCAGAATGCCTTTCATGCGGGTTCAGCACTGCTTCAGTGTTGTTTGTGTTTAAAAATGAGATGGAGACTTCTGTAATTGTTTTCCTATGCTTATACAAAAAGTGTCCCCTAATTACCATGCCCCAGCAGTTGTATTCACGTCTGCTGCTGTTCCTGCTCACAGTAATCACCTTTAATGAAATGACAGAAGGTCATTTTATATGTGTTTAAACACTGCCTGAAGTTGAAGACCTTTACTTAGGTTGCAGAGCAGAGTGTGCAAGGGCAAGAACTGCGAGAGCGAAGGGTCTCTGCAGTCTACCTGAAACAGCGTGCTACAAATAGAAAGACAACACCACATTCATTTTCCACAGGGAAGATTTCCTTTTGGCTCACAGCTTGTGTGCACTCAGAAGGAAGCCGGCCAGCCTTTTGTCAACTCCAGACTATTTCTTTCCTCTCCTCTCCATCTCCACACCGCCTGTTTCAGACTCCTTGCTTGCTGGGTCCTGGTCATAGAATCATAGAATGGTTTAGGTTGGAAGGGACCCTGAAGATCATTGAGTTCCAACCCCCCTGCCATAAGCAGGGACACCTCCCACTAGACCATCGTCATCATCAGAAGCAAAACCTTGCAAAGCCTCGGATGAGCATGTGCTTGTCCTGAGAAACCTCCTGACTTCTGTAACTCCACAAAAGCCAGGAGGATTCGCCATGAAAGCAGCAGCAGTGATAGTCAGGGGGTGGTAGGAGTGGGGCTGCCGAGGTGGCCAGGCACATCCATGCCCACAGTGCAGCTGGGCTGGGGACCACAGCCCTGAGCTGAAGTCCAGCTCCACAGCCAAGGGGCTGAGGCGCCGGGCAAGGCTTCAGACAGCTCCTTTCCTCATGGCTGGGTTTCACAGTAATTTTTTTTTGTCATTTTCTTTTTCACACCCTGTTCGCAAAGGAGTTAAGTTACTCTATCCCTTTTGGAACTGGAAAATCTGAGGCGAACACCATGTAAAACTTCAGCCTGACGGAGTGACGCTTGCCTACATTATGACAAATTTCTAAAGACAGGAAGCACTAAGCAGCCCTAATAATAAACAAGGTGACCAGCCCTTGCCTGTAAGACAGGCTTATCCCTCCTGGTGTTTGACTTTATGACAAGAAGATGGTCATGAAAACAAGCCAGGCACCAGAGAGACTCTTACTGCACCAAGGTTCCTCGGTTGTAAGTTCTCTGGTAAAGAAGCCACTTAGGTTGTATGAAAACAAGCCAGGCACCAGAGAGACCAGAGAGACAGGCACCAAGGTTCCTCGGTTGTAAGTTGTCTGGTAAAGAAGCCACTTAGGTTGTATTCAGACCTGAGGGACTTAAGAGCCTTTGTGTTATAAGCACACACAGTACACAGTCATTTAAAAGTAAAGAAAGATTACTGAATCTCATTTGGAGTACAGACACATAAACAATCAGGAGTTGTGAAATTAAATCTATTATTGTAAAAGTGAACGAACAGAGCTTGATCCTGGTAGGTACTTACACTAATCAGAATTCAGCAAAGCAGGCAAGTATTTTTTTAGCATATTAGATGTCCTAATGACTTGAATAAAACCGCTGCTTTAAGCTAAATACAGGCTTAAATCCTTTACAGTACTGGTCTTAGAGCGCACAGCACTTTGCAGGTCAAGACTATAAGCCCTTAGTTTGCTTAATGAAAGTAGCTGATGTAGAACAATGTAATTCCTAATTATACAATTACTTCACTAATACGTTTGAAGATGGGGATAACCTTTACTTTGATATTATATGTAGATAGACCTATTATCTTTGAGGTCTCTGCTGCACAGTTGAGTTAGGATCAGAGTGAATGCAGTTTCTTTTCATCTTTTTGCAATCATTGCAGCTAATGCCTATAAATCTTTAAAGGGTTGAAAGTCACCATCGTTTTACAGGAAGGATGAATTAGTGGTATGGTGATTGCACATTACCATGCTTTAGGAGAAACTGGTATACAAGGAGGGCGCTCAGTTTTACAGTCACGTTGCTACTGATGTCAGTGGCGATATTCCCAGCTCCTGTCACTGTGTGATGGAAAGGATAGGCGCTCCAACTTCTTCAATATAATTCTTTTTAGATATTGTCCACATCATATTTTTATATTTGTATCATTATTTGGTTTTGCTGTAAAATAGGAAAGTTTTCAGCTTACACCGTTTCTGCATTTTGCTCTTAATGTAAAAAACCTCTCACTTTTTATGAAAGCATATTTAGTTTTCACTTAGTATTGTTTCACGTTTTTCCTCAGTAATTTTAAACTAAGTGGCAAACAACTATTGCAGAGCAGATAATTGGAAACAACAAACCACACTTCGATTTTTTAATTTGTTTGTTGTGTTTCAGACAGAATGATAATGCCACCAAGTTCTTCATGTTTTTGTTTTGCCTCTACAACTTGTAGGTACATGTAATTTTCCATGCCAGTACAATAATTCCCCGAGAGAAAGTATGTGCATGTTCTTCTAAGTCTGAAATTTTTTAGGTTTTTTTATGGTTTTGAAATCAAGTTTTGAAGATCCATGATCATGTAGTATAACTGGGTTACAAAAGAAGACAGCAAATCTGCACCATAAACAAATGAAAGTGGCTTCTTCTTCACATTGGCTACGTTATTTACATCATTCTGTTTCATTTGCTTAACAAGCTCATTGTGTTTTTTGAAGGCACAGTTACATTTCAAAGCAGCTGGAGTATTTATTTGGCAGCATACATTCACATAAGCCCGAAGCACTCTATTGTCAAAATATAACAGATGAAGTAACATCAGGATGGTTTAACTCCCGCTATATTTCTTCTAAATGTGATTGTTGTTCTGCTTTAGCCTGTGTGTTTCACTAGTTTTTCAATAATTCCGCTATCTTTTTTTACATAGGATTCTCATATCAGACCTACAGAAAGCAATAGAAAACCAAACTGGATTGAGGTCACATAGGAATCGAAGGTCCCTCTCTGAGTATAACTACGAAGTGTATCACTCCCTGGAAGAAGTATGTGAAAATTCATATTGTACCTCTTTTCTGCTACAGCACTGTCTTTAATGAGGCAAAGAGTTCACTCTATGAGTTATGTTTGCCTGTTCCTCTTCAGAAGTATTCTAAATGTTTCTTCTTCAAAAATGGGCACCTTGTTAAAAATATGTGTTTTTCAATTTGTATTCAAGACATCTTTACATTTAACTATCTCTGGCAGCTTCTGAGTTTTGTTTTTAAAATAGGTCTTTAGTCTAATGGAGTAAGAGATTTCAGTGAGCAATTAGTGTCACTGATTCATTTAAGTGAGCAATATGAGCAAATGCTTTAATATTTGCATAAACTTAGAAACACTTAGATACAAAATCATGTATAAGCAATACCATCCTGGATGATAGCTGGGTAAATAATTTCTGTTGATTCCAGTGTGCTCAAATAAACCGTTTCAGTCTGCACCAAAACAAAGTTCCTAGGCTGAGCACGGAGGGTGCCGCGTCTCGACAAGTTCTGGTGCCTGTGAAACAAATATTGCAGGTAGCACTGAATCCTGCAGGTCAATCTCTTCACCATTCTGTGTCTTGTCAGGCAGTCAGGGGCCTTCTTTCTTCATTCCATTAGTATTTAGAGGGAATGACAGATTAGCCCCATCCCCAGATTTTGGATGAACAGATAATGTGTTCCAACAATAAAATGGGAAAAAAATTCCACGTGACTGAGGGCTGCATCCAGCCTCTGGCAATAGAGCTATGAGAGCCCTGTGATCGTTGAAATGTGAAAACAAAACCAGAAACAAACAAACAAACAAAAACCCCAAAACAAAACAAAGAAACCCCAAGAAAGAAACAAATGAAAAAAGAAAAACTACAGGAAAATCCAAAAAGGTACAGAGGACTGGGAGCTGAGATTAATATATGTGTTACATTTGCTTCCCATGAAATGCAAAGACTGAAGCAAAAATTTTATTTCTGTATTTGCAGATCCAGGGTTGGATGCATCATCTGAATAAAACTCATTCGGATCTTGTTCACATGTTCTCTGTTGGAAAATCCTATGAAGGGAGACCACTGTTTGTACTCAAGGTAAAGATTAAATAGTCATTAATCAGACTAAAGTTTGGAATCAGGGACAGACACTTTGTTACTTATGTTATAGCATGTACACCAGAGACACAGGTTAGCAGTGTTTCCCTAAGGATGAGTTGCTAAGATCTAAGTAGCTCTCTGAATGTCATCTTTAATGACCAAAAACATAAAAAGCTGGAAAATGAAAAGCCAAATCCTATTTACTAGGTTTGGATATGCATGGAGATAGATTACAGGACAAGTTCAATTAGCAGGATTTGGATTTCAGGAAATGGGAAAGTTTTGTGTTTATAGACAACTTGGAAAGCAGTTATGTGGGGAGGGACCCCAGAGGACTCTGGAGTCCTTCTCAGTGTGTGCCACATATGCTTCCTCTTTAGCTACTGATAAAATTTCAGGGCTGTGTGCTCTCAACTCACATTATTAGGACCACAAATTAGATGGTGTCAGCAAGACGCAAAAAAAAAAATTTACTTTCAATGTACTTTTTTTCATCTGCTGTTGCAGAGTTCTGATAATTTGATTCTGCATCAAATCAGACTATCAGACTCCTCCTGTAGCATCACTTTTCCTCCCTCTGCACCATGTGGAATTTAAGGGTATCATTCCTCATACAAGAAGAATTGAAAGATCTCACTTTTTCTGTAATTTTTTTTCCATAGATCAGCTTCATTATCTTGGCATACCTGCATATCATTATCTTGGCCATACCTTTGAAAACAATAAATTTGTGTTCCTTTTTACAAGAAAATTCAAAACTGTTTAGTGTTTCTAATACTGTGTTATCTTCTCATTATTTCGTCGCACTGTCACATTGATATTTCTATGAATATTTACACTTCAAGTTAGGTAAAAGGTCACGGCCCTACAAGAAAGCTGTGTGGATAGACTGTGGGATCCATGCAAGAGAGTGGATTGGCCCTGCCTTTTGCCAGTGGTTCGTGAAAGAAGTAAGTGTTTCATGATTTACAGTCATGCAGTCCCTTCAGTTCAATAAACATTGCATTTTTGCTATAACCAATCTAACATATTATTAATAAGAAAAATAACTAGCTATTTTACCACCTTTTTTTTTTATTTGTAGAATGCTTAAGTGCTTGATAAACGAAGCTGATAGCGGCAGCCAGACACAGCTAGGCAGAGGACAAAAATATGCCAGACACATATTGGCAGAGATACGAAGTAGGATTTTATTCCAAGATCTAAAAATGTGGAGATTGTAATTCTGGTAATGGTCCAGGTAAATCCATGCCAGTGTGTCCTGCTTCAGATCAGTTCAGCAATATCTTTGCTTTAAGGACTGAGATTAAGATAGACACCTCTCTTTTGTGCAATTCCACCTGAATAGAAAACTAAAATCATAGGCAGATTTCACCCAATAATATGGATTTCATATTCTCTGAATATCAAGTGGTTTCCCCAATATTTCTTTGATCCTATCTTACTGATTTATACTCCCTTTATCTTTCATATCTGGGGTCTAGCCTTCATATCCATCCATTTGCCATTTTTCAAATTATCAGTGAAATCAAATCAATTGGAATTTTGGTTTCCACTTGTCCAGTACACCATTTTTTTGTATATCAGTACTTAATCTCTTCTAATTTTGGATTCATCTCAGATGGACAATATGTTTGCAGGATTTTGACATTTCCCCTTGACCAACAAACTTTTGTTCAAGAAGGGATATTAGCTGCACAGTGGAGACTATATTGCAATGCAATTTACAGCAGTCAAAGAAGGCTTAAAAAAAGAAGAATGTGCTTTGAGTATTGTACATACCATTTTTTTGCTCAAAACAAGTGATGTAAAATCTTTGTTTGCGAGGTTCTTCCTATAAACACACAATTTTCTCACTTCTCTCCTACCCCATCACTGTGGAATTCTACAATGTATTAATGGCTCCATTGATTTAAAGGATCTGCCTTTTGACCTTCTGGGATCTGTCCACTCAGCAGAAAGATCCTGGCCCTATAAGTCACTACATGAGAGTAAACCTCTACACCATCAACACCCTAATGCCTTAGCTGAGACGATCATATAACCATGTGTGAATTCCCCTCAGAAGTCACAGCAGCGTATGAGGCCACTACAATTTGGGTGAGCCCGTCAGCATGGCTGCTGATGCGTGGATAGGCTAAACCTGACCCAGGAGCCGATCTGCAGAGTTCATTGTGCAACGACGGTGTGTCTTCTTTTTAGGACTTCTGTTAGCGTAAAGATGAACAAACTTGCAACTATTTCCCAGCATCTTTCCTACCCAGGAGAACAGGTTGCAGTAAGGAAGGAAGATGTTTGGGACAGACAAGCACTGGTGGGAAAGCTTATTGCTCAAGTACATCTTCCTTACCAAGTTTCCCCACAAAGCACTACAATGTGGCAGCAGGAGGAAAATCACAAGGTTTCTCTGTAGAGCTTATGACAGAATATAGGCTGTGTACGTGTACATAAAAACCTTCTGGTTGTTATTTGAGATCCTCGGAGAGTAGCTTGCTAGTAAGTATGTTTTGCTACCTAAGTAAAAGCCTAGATTAAAGAAAGTTTCTGCAGAGTTCCTTGAGAATACAGGAATGTGCCGCCTTTGTCTGGTGGTTCATTGCCTCTGTGCATAAATGACATGTATTTTCTTCTTTCCTTAAAGCACTGTTTCAACCCAGCATTAAAGCAAAAAGCATCAGGATAGGACTACATTATGCACACAGTCTCCATCATTGTATTAAAAATGGCTGGGAGGGGAGAAGAGACAAGATGATTAGATTGTTCGGTTTAGGATATTGGTTTTTTTTGTTAAATGAATTAGACATTTTTACTAAGAACTCTGGGAAAACTGAAGGTCTGTCCATGCTTCAAACTCTGCAATTCTCTTTTGCTGGCAAACTCCTCCCTTAAGCACCTCTGCAGCCCAGCAGCCCACTTTCCATCCTCCCTGGTGCTTACGAGCAGTTCTGAGAAAGGGCAGTCGGCTTGGAAATAGATTTTTCCTGGCATGTTTGTTGACTCTAAGGAATAGCACCACAAGCCCGTTGATTTAAGGCAAGCGAAAGGAAATGTTGGATTTATGTGATGATAGGTTCTTTTCTAGCAGGAACAGCATACACACAGCCCTTTACTGTGCAGGCAGCCTGAAATATTTTGTCAAGCTTTCGCTTCACCCTGTGATCTCTGTCACATGTTTTTATTGAAGTACCCATACTTCTGTGTACAACTAGGCTTTTCAAGAGGTTCAGCTTAGAGAACAGCCTCTATGCGTGAATGTCACTTAATGTTCAAGCTCAAAACTGGGTGCTGCAACCTTGACCAGATATTCCCACCCAGCCTGGGAACCCTCAGCATCTTACCTGTGCCTCTGGAAGCGGCAGCTTCTGAGTGCCAGGGAATCTGCTGCAAGCAATGGAGATGCCACCTCCCATAGGGTGGAGGTGCCAACAAGCAGCTGACTGCTCCTGTGGCTTGCCAGGGTATGGGCAGCAGCTCCCCTCTTTCTGCAAAGCATCTGGAGTCGTGCAGCTGAGCAGGACCCAGCTCCCATCTATCTGGAAACGCAAAGCAGACTAAGGCAGATCAGATTTGGGAAGCGAGGGTGTAAGGCTGCAGCATGGGCAGGCAACAGCCTGCCTGCTACACAGGCTTGGTCTGTATTTGCGTAAATACAACAGAGGAAAAGAACAGATGAACTAGAGAAAAGGGGAAGAGAGATATACAAGAAGATAAAGATTAAAAGGAGAAAGAGAAGGCACAGGAAGGACTTTAGTGGGAGGTGTCCCTGCCTATGGTAGGGGGGTTGGAACTCAATGATCTTCAAGGTCCTTTCCAACCTAAACCATTCTATGATTCTATGTGATAATACAATTGAAAGTACAAAACCAGCCTACTCACATTTGAAACAAGCAAAAGGAGAGTAAAGACTATTGCTTGGTTTGGGAGTTTATTGGGGTTTTGTTTGGGTTTTTTTTGTGTTTTTTTTATTATAATCTACTCCAGCACAAGGTCTAGCCTTGGCTCTGTATCCCATAAGTCTGGTGTTAATAACAACGTCACTCTTTCTGTAGAAGGCGCCCCTGAATGCCCGTAGTTGCTCAGCTAAAGATAATCAGATGTTCTACTGGGGTTAGCAATACTGGTGGACTCTGACAAACCCTACCTCATGGTCATTGAATTTCAAGTCAAGAAAGGGGACACCCTCCGCACACAGGATCAGAGCTTTAGGTACCAGCTAATGAGCCACTGAGAAGTGTCTGCACCTGCATTGGAGCAGAATACCAGTTAAGTTACAGTGGGGTCCCCCCCACCTTCAAGCCTTACTCAGCTGAAAAGGGGTGGAAAAAAGACGTTAACAGTGGAAATATTAAGAGACCTTAATCTGAGGTGGAGTAGGGAAGCAGGAGGAATTGTCAAAGGAAGCAGAACTGATTACATGTGGACTACTTTGAAGGCGAGCTGCAAACATAAATGAATCTAATGTAACCCCAAATTTGTGTCCACAGCAAAAGATATAGGGAAAAAAAAAAAAAAAACAAAAGAAGAAAAAAGATTTGTTAGCTTGGATTTTTAAAAAGACTGCATGGGATCTACTCATACATTAAAATGTGTTAGTAAACATTAAAAACTGGAAAGAAAGGGATTCTATTATGTGTTATTACTTTGTAGAAAGCAGTAGATGTTAGAAACAAAAGTTGTTTATCAGACATAACATGTATTTATCCAAAATTAAATAGTCTCATAGAAGCAAAGGAGCAAAGCCTGCAGACTTTTTGCAAAAGCAATTATGTATGTACATGTGTTAAATAAGAACATTTAACTCCTCTTCGTTGGGTGTGCAACTGTGAGAGGAGAAGCAGAATTCAGATATCAAATTATTCAGACATCGAATTTAGGAATTTACCATTGTTTTAAAAAGCTGAAATACGGTTCACAGGCTGCTATTCAAATTAACATCAAAACCAGATTCTGTTTCAGTTTTAGTGGAAGCAGATGAGGATTCCCATTACATCTGGTTTGACTTTCTTCCCTCTAATAAATGCTGCCATTTGATCCATGTCAATGATGTATAACCTTGAAATGTCATTCATACAACATTTTCAGAAAATGACAGACAAGAGATGTGACTTTAAGGTGCACTATTATTTGCTTCTGATGCAGGAATTTGTATTTCAAGATTAGAAAATTCAAGAAATGTAACCAAAAACCTTCAAGAAGCAAGAATTGATTGTGCTTCTTGACAAAATATTCTAAGAAGCCAATGGCAACCATAAGGGAAACATCCATTAGATCAAGTGCATCCCCCTAAAGAAGTGGCCTCATCAGGTCCTCAAATGAAGGTGCAAATAGCCTTACGCATTGGAAATGCAGTAACTTCCACCATCACCTTCTTCTCCCATCTTCAAAAGTGGGCCTTTTAGGAAAAAGGAAAATTACATATGTTGACTGGATTCAGTATATCTGCATCTCAAGTGTGAGCTGTGGCATGCTCTTCCATAGACTCCCTAGGCTCTCAAATTTTTCAAATGTTTAAATCTTGAGGACTTTCCTCGGAATAATAGTAGTATTCTTTGAATGTGGGTCAGCTTACATTGCATTGCCCATAGCCACTTTTCTTTAATGTGAGACTGTGGTGGATTTTTGTCCTGGATGAGCAGTGCTACCGTTTGCTTCTTCTGGAACAGACCCTAGCTAATATGTAAGGTCTTTGCTGAAAAAATGTTCAGAACTACTTCTGAGCTTTCTGGATTTGGTCAAGGTGACTTGATAAGTTTGGTTTGGGCACTGCTAGACCACCCATGAGTGTTCCCTCACCCCTATCCACAGCCCCACTAGGAAGGAGCTGTATAGTAGAGGAATCCAAATCCGCACCTCTGAAGCCCTGCACATCCTGCGGCATTGTATCATCCCTTAAAGATGGGCCGTAATAGCTGTCTCACCTCAGAAGAATTCCAAATCTGAAAAGAATATC